CTCCGTCTTCACAAACTTTCTGTCAACAGACGAGAAGATTCTTCCATCCCCACATCAGGACGTTTATCTTTGCCAGCACGCAACCAAGTTACTGTTCGTCATCGTCTTCACAGACCTGTCGTGGAACCCCCGTTATTAGAAGGGCTAATGGAAGGACTCGAAGAGGAAGATCCTCTGGAAGATGATGCATTCCTAATGGGCGATGAGTAGACCTGGCTTGCATTGTTGGAAATCTTAGCAATTACTGTAATCTCTCTAATAAGCTCCCCTCTCAAATAATCCCCATCATGAATGATCACTTTCACTGAAGACATTTATTAACAATATTTTTCACTTTCTTAACACACTGGATTGAGCAATACCAAAAAATGAATAAGTCCCTCTTCCCAACAATCTCCCCCCCCCAAAGGTGCATAGAAAAATAAGACCCCTGTATACTTATTAAATTAAAGAGATTACAGAATTGTGTTTGGTCCATTGAATGGAGCAATACCCCCTGACAAGTAAAATATCTGGCGTTAGACAGTGTAAAATAATAAACTAGGGCGCATTACCACTTGAAGGTTTAATGTGTAAGACCCTTCTCTTGACAAGTAAACCATAAGCTGGCAATTTGCTCAGATATTCCATAGCCTTAGCATTGTACTTTGTCTAATGCCAGACAAGATTACTTGTCAGTGGGAGCATGTGTATTGAATAAATATGGGCACATTGCAAATCAATGGGTTAACATTTAATAACCGCATTTTCCTACTTTTTTCTGTTTGTACAGATGGTGTAAAGACAAGCCCGACAAAAGAAATGTGAATTACATTCAATGCAAGACTACTACAGGAAAATGGTTCAATTGCGTTACTGCAGTGTCTGATACTTGTACAGTTAGATTAAGTATTATTGGGTTATAATGTGCAGTAAATTCTGTTTTGCAGCTTGCTTCAAAAAATGCACCATATGCTAATCACAATAAGACATAATTGAAAGCAATTACAAGGCTAAGCATACATGTATCTCATCATGCAGACTACCCAGTAAAGCAATTATAATGCATGTTTTAAACTTTATTGATACTTACTTAGTTTTACATTATTTCACATTACACCATATTATATATTATTGATATTACATGGGAAAAATAGTTTTTGTACATGCTGTGGTAATACGTAAAATCATGATTTTACAAACTAAAGTTAACATGTAAATATCATAAAGTCTAGAGGTATAAATAATTTTATGACTCTAGATAATATTTTATACAGTAGGTTTAGATAGGGGTAGGCACATTAAAAGCACTGTTTCCTGTTCTGCTAACCTTATACTTTCCATGTATTTTGGTTAAATGGAAATAGTGCAACATTTAATAAAAATTCTGTTTGAGGTGAAAAATCTAACAATAAACTATTTTCAAAATCAATTTACTTGTGTCTTTATTATTCTGCTTATAACCAGTAACCGTAGTGTACCAGAACTGCATCACTGCATGTGGCTGGGCAGAGTTATATATGTTACCATTTATGTTTGTGTCTGTTTAATTTGTCTGCATGGTAGCATGATCGATACACTGCAGGCATACACCTCAAATCTGGGTACAAAACCTCTGTCTCATCAATATCACATGTACCTCTTCATCAGATGATGTCGACTCACAATGAGATGGCAGATCTACTAAACAGACAGGATTCATATGTTGATGGTAGCAATTACATGGTGCTTGACTTTTTAAATTCAGTGGTGGAGTACAGCATCCAACTTTTGACTTGATGGTGATGGTAGAATATCAAATTCCCACAAAATATTACATCATGTATTGAATATTCTCCTTGCCAGGGTCATCCAAGTCGAAGAACTACATACAAGATATACAAGAACAAGTCAGTTATATTTATAGCCACAATAACTTCAGGAGATACTGTATAAAAGCTTGTAGAAAGTCCTACATATATCCCATAAAAATTTAAAGTGGCCTCCAAAATAACTTTTAAGCCAAATCTTGTTCTGGCGATATAACCCGGCGTACTGAATCGATGAAAACCGATTATCGGAAATCCAGTCAATTGATGGTAATCTGTAATTACTTAGTTGATATCGATTGACGTTGGTCAATGATATTCATCCCGTGTATGGTCGACGAATTTGCATATCTCAACCAGCTACAGACCTACGTTCACATATTCCGTCGAATTGCGTCTCTATTGTTAGTCATAACTCAACCGAGCAGCAAACTCCTTGTATAAAGATTGCAACTCCAGAAACTACATCAGTTTCAGACTCTGCCGACACGGATTCGCGTAATATAGATGCTTCAACATCAACAGTTTCTCACATTTCAACAAGACGCCATTCTAATCCCGGTTCGAATCTTAAAATAGTTCATGTAAACATTCGTTCATTGCGTAACACAGATCATCTCATTCAAGTCAGAGAATTTGCTAAATCTGAGAATATAGATGTGCTTACCATCTCCGAAACCTGGCTAAACTTGACTGTAACAAACAAACAAAGAAATAAGTATCGATGGCTACAAACTACACAGACTCGACCGTTTACATAAGAAAGGAGGGGGAGTTTGCTTATACATTCGGAATGACATTAAGGCAAATATTTTGAAAGATATTTCGCATATTTCTGACTGCAATTTCCACCAACTATGGCTACAACTTCAGTATAAGAAGTTAAAATCACTCGTGGTTTGTGCAACGTACCGTCCTCCCGACTGTCCACTCACCTGTCTCCAGTCTCTTCTAAAGCCCAGCTATATTACAGCTCTATCAATGAACAAACCCATAATCATCCTCGGTGATCTTAACTGTAATACACTAAAAGAATGTCCTGAAAACAAGGCGCTCACTGATATTTCAATAGAATTAAACCTAACCCAAATTATTACCACACCAACCAGAATCATAGACCGCAGCCAGTCACTTATTGATGTTATTCTCATTTCCAACCCTGACCTGGTATGCGACAGTGGCGTCATCGACACAGCGATAAGTGACCACCTCCCCGTCTTCGCCACGTTGAAGTTGAGACTACCCAAGCCTCCTTCACGTTTCATCACTGTGCGCAGTTTTAAAAACTATGACCCTTCGTTGTTCTCTGCTGCCCTGGCCTCCAACTCTAGCAACTTGTTATCCATATTTACTAAACCTGATGTTGACTCGAAATTAGCAACATTCAACAGTGTTCTTCTTTCCACCCTTGAAGCTCATGCTCCTGTCAAGCGTATCAAGATCCGTAGCCGTCCTTGTCCCTATGTCACCACTGAAATTAAAGATCTCATGAATACCAGGGACCGAATACTTCGCCGTTTCAAAACTACACGTGACGACAATGACTGGCATATCTATAAGGAAGCTCGGCAAACGGTAAAAACCACACTAAGAAACGCAGAGAGAAACTACATCCGTAATGAGGTACAAACTCACAAAGATAAACCGGGTTGTCTTTGGAAAATTATTAATAAAGTTATACCATCCAAAGAGAGACCCACTCTAACATACGGTAAAGACCATAAATCGGTAGCAGACGATTTCAACCAGTTCTTTTCGTCAGTAGGGAGAAAAACAGCTGAAGAAGCTACCCGGCTAGCTTTGGAAAATAATATTAACATTTCCACCACAAGCCGTCCATCCACACCACCTGGAAATTCCCCTGACGACCTGTTCTATTTCCGTCCTGTTACCTGCACAGAAGTACAAAATATTATTCTATCTATGCCCTCCAACAAATCTCCTGGTCTCGATAAGATCAATATGCGGGTCATTAAAGATTCGTTACCAGTTATTTTAGGCCCCCTAACAGACATAATCAATTGTTCCCTCAACACATCTACATATCCCAAAGCATGGAAAAAGGCTGAAGTTATACCTCTGTTAAAAGATGGTGACCATGAGCAAGCTTCAAACAATCGCCCTCTTTCGCTTCTACCCGTTGCTTCTAAAGTCTGTGAGAAAATTGTGCTCAGTCAATTCAACACGTACTTAACGAGAAACAATCGTTTGTCCTCCCACCAAAGTGGCAACAAGAAACACTTCTCCACAGAAACACTGTCTATTTTTGTGAATGACACTATTTTGAAAGCGATGGATAATAAGAAGTTAACTGCACTTGTGCTTTTAGATTTGTCTAAAGCATTTGACAGTGTCAATCACAATATCCTACTTCAAAAATTGGAACGCATCGGAGCGTCTAAACCCTCATTGAGATGGTTTGGTAGCTACCTAAATGGACGATCACAAGTAGTACGTATTGGTTCAACTTCATCTTCTCCCCTTAACCTCACCCACGGCGTACCACAAGGAGCGATACTTTCACCCTTACTCTTCTGCATATACATGAATGATCTCCCACTATCACCACGCAGTAGCTCCCTTGAATCATACGTTGATGACTCCAAGGTTTTCCTATCCTTTCCGATTAAAGACACTACTTCCACCAAAGCGAATCTGGAAGAAGACCTTTGTCTTGTAGCTAAATGGTGTTCGACTAATCATTTATTGATCAACCCAGAGAAAACCAAGTTTCTTCTTATTGGCACACCCCAGTTGTTAAAAGAACTACCTTCGTCAATGACTCTCTCATTCCTAGGTAAAGACATTATTCCTGTGTTCAGTGCAAAAGATCTGGGAGTTACCCTAGATTCGCATTTATCGTACAACGAACATAAAAATCTTGTCTCATCGTGTACTGCAAAACTTTGTCAAATTAACAGAGTGAAAGACAGTTTTGATAAAGAAACGCTCAAACTCATCATTTCATCACTTGTTATCAGTAAATTATTCTACTGTTCTTCTACATGGTCCAATACATCTTCCACAAACATTAGCAAGCTCCAAGCAGTACAGAACTTGGCATGCAGGATTATTACAAACACTAGAAAGTTTGACCACATCACTCCTGCGCTACGTCAGATTAGTTGGCTACCTGTCAAAGAACAACTTATTCTCAGAGACTCAATTATGACGTACAAATGCATGAACTCACTTGTCCCACAATATTTAAGCGAAAAATTTTCGAAACGATCTTCGATACACAGCAGACTCACGAGAAACCAAGATACGCTGCAAATCCCTTTCAACCGAACCGCCACTGGACAACGTTCCTTTCACTACAGGGCTGTTAATCTTTGGAATGGCCTGGATGAAAATATCAAAGAAGCAAGATCTCTCCGCCATTTCAAGAAGTTAATGAAAAACAATCTGTTAGACCACTATTTTAACAATTAATGTAATATAAACTGTAAATACTTAATATAACTATAATTATAATATTAACTATAACATGTAATGGGCATTGAAAAACCCAGTTGGGAATTGCTCAATGGAGTATGTATGTATGTAAAACAAGAATGTGGAAATATTTCACGCAGAACAACACAAAGGTCTGCGTAGACGTCCTACCTACCTTCCTGAAGTCCTACAATAAGTCAACACACAGGACAATCGGAATGAGACCTGCAGACGTCAACGAGGAAAACAAGGACGAAGTCTGGACGAGGGTTTGCGGATACCCTTTGAGCACATTCCCGAAACCTGAATTTAAGGTGGGCTCATGTCAAAGTGGAGGTAAAACATAAAACATTAGAAAAGGATATGAACTTAATTTCGATGACGAGCTGTATGTCATCACGGTGGTGTTTCGTGGAGATCCGAATATGTAGTAATATCTTAAAGATCCGGAGGATGGAGAAGACATCATCGGAAGATATTATGAACAGGGATTATCTTTGGACATAAATAAAGATGGAAACAGAAATGGGTTACTTATTTAGCGATCGACCGGAAGGCGAAGCCGGAGAAGAAGGAGAAGCCGAAACGTCATTTATCGAAGACAACGACCTACCTGTAACGTCATTTGACGAGCTCCTAAATAATGCTAATCAAAACTTAGATGAAGCAATGATTGCCAGTTTCCGTGAGGAGAACGAAGATGACAGATATAAGAAAAGGAGAGAGCAAACGGACAAACTATACCTCGTCGGAACATTCGATGAAATAAAATGAGAGTTTGCCAAAGAAGTGTTAGGTAGTGTTTACCGAATAGATCCAACCGATGGTTTTGCCTCCAGGAAATTCATATCTCGTCTGAACATAACCAAACATCAACTAACATTTGATGGGACTGTCGTAGGGACCATCGGTACGGATGGTGTGTACAGAATATCTGGAAACAAAAAATTCATGAAGGATATAACCAATTTTAAGGAACAGTACGAAAAAGCACGAACAGAACACCGCAGTAAGATCACAAGCTATGTGGAGGAGGAAACCGGAGGGGGTGTACTGGAGGGGTGAACAGGTTCGCAATCGCTTGAGAAGCCTGGGAAGAATTCCACCAGGACGTTTCCAACTCAAGCGATGACCTTACCGATCAGGCAGAGCGTCTGGAACAAGCGGGAGTAATCACGGAACAGGAAAGAAGGGAATTTGCAGGAATAACTGCTCCGAAAGGACCACCGGAAGAAATAATTAAGTACCTAGAAATTGCCCTGGAGGACTATGAAAATAAGCTAAATAAGGAAAACGACGAGTAGCGACCGAACATTACGTGAAAGGCAGTGGACGTTGGCAGTGGACGTAAAAGAGGGAAACATCGCATATGGGAATTAATAAGGGATAACATCCGCACAAGGTTCGAAAGATTCCGTGCGTGGGCGAAGGAGAACATGGGGGCGCTAACCGCTATCGCGATATCCATCGCAGGAATAATCGCGTTAGCAGAACCATCGCGGGAGCAGCGAACGGTCTAGGTAATGTTGGAAAAGCACTAGCTAAATTACAAAGGCTGTCCTTCCAATTCTGGTACCTATCTTAAACATATTAAGTACAATTCTAAATCTAACAGCAAAAGGTCTGTCTCGCCTTCCTTGCCAACAATCTATGGATCGTAGCAATAATGATCACAGGAATTATAATTAAATATATTCAGAACAGACAACAACAGCGGTAACTTTTTTTCCTATTAAATAAAATACAATAAGTCGAATGACAGAACTTATGCCTGGTTTCCAACGAGTGAACAAGGGAGAGATTAAGGGAGAACGCACCCAACATGTCCCAACCTCTATGGTCCCAACCTTCAATCCGAACAAAGCCGAGCCGGGAGAAGAAATCTATGTCAATATTCCGAAACGGAGGGCCGATTCCGTCCTTGTGCCGGACAGCAGGAACCTTCAAAAACAAAAACACGAAATCCTGGTTCCGGAACAATCTCGAAAAGTTACTCCAGAAAAGACTGGAAATCCGCCTGTCTGGAGAAAAGATTTGTGACAACAGCTGGGAAAACATCCTGGAAGTCTATAGAGATCTATGGCTACACAAGAAGCAGAGAGACGACATGGTGGAAGATGGAATTGCCAGCGATGCCATGAGAAAGAAGGTCTCCAAAGACGATGTTACAAACGATGACGCAGACGCAACTGCATTATTCGGAATATTTGGAACTAAGCAAAGGATCAAGATCGGAAAAATCCTAAAGGACCACGGTCTGTATGCTCCGTACAACATGGCAAACAACCTGCAGTATGTTGTGACTTTGCCTAAGGCGGAGGAGATCATGAATGCGCAGGCTAACGAGAAAGTGGAAGGATACAGTTTGGAGAACATAGAACTGGAGTATAATAATAATAATAATAATAACTTTATTTAAACACGGTATACTCATCAGAAAACAAATTACAAATACATTACATACTATTACGTTTACAATTTACGTCTATTACAAGTATGAATCCATCGACAGCGCGGAACTGGCAAAGGATGTGTAGAGTTTGTACAACAAACGCCAACTGTCCTTCGAACATGTTAACCTAATGGAAACGGTGGAGTGAGGAAAAGACGAAACCCTAATTAACGAAACAATCAAATGCTCTTCATCAACAAAACGAAGACGGACAGCGAAGAGTATGTCTACCCAAACATAGAAAAAGTTAAAGTCACTTTGGAAGGTGTGCCCAATTCCATCTGCAGTAAGGGTATTCCCAAAACTAGTTTCTACGAAGAGCAAAGAGAAAACTAGGTTCTATGAAGAAGCAAAGAGAATCTTTGCGGTCACCGAAGAAGTCAAGGAACTCCCCTCAGCAGCTGACCCTGACGAGATTCTACAAAGACCACAAATTCGCGCTGGTGGTTGACCTAAGAATCATAAACGATCCCGCATTCTGTGGAAACGGTACAATGGTACTGAACACACAATCCAGAATACCACTAGAAATCACAAAGAAAGCCACAACTGCAAACGTGCTATGTCATATGTTTGTGCTGTCCAACGGGGTAGTTAACATCGACAACGGACGACTTAGTGGAGTTGAATACTAGTGAGGACCACTAACATAAAAAACAAAAGAAAAATAATTGACATTTTGACATTCTATGAATCTCAAAACTTTTTAATTTTCCCCTCCGGTCCTTGCGGTCGGTCCTTCGGTGTTGTCTTGCTTGCGCTCCTCTGCTCGCGTAGACGTGTTTTCCTACCGTTACTCCTCCGCTAAGGATTCCCAAACAAGGTATCCATGGAGAAATCTTCACCACCACACTTTTGACGTCGCTTCTCAAAAAAGTTTTTCCTGATGTAACTCTTCCCTCAGATGCGCTCCACTGTCGATCATGTTAATAGGGACCTTTAGCTAGCAGGACGGCGACGGCTATTAACACAATGAAATTTATGACAGTGTAGAAAGAAAATGCATAGTTAAAGGTCCCTTGGGAGTTTTAGACGTCGTCCTTGCTCTGTTTACAACAGCGAAACAAAGATTTTCACGTTTTGTATACAACGTCTGCCTTTAAAAGCAGCGAGAAATCGTCCTCGCCAAATTGGCTTAGTAGAAGTCTTCTCAACTATAAACCTCTGTCTTAACCTTCTAAATTGCAATACATTCATACAACGGATAATACAAGACATGTTGATCTTAAAGTTACTTATTTGAACGAGTTTGTTTTGGCCGTCGTCGTCGCGTTGCTGTCACCTATTTGCTAAAGGTCCCTAATAGCTTCCAACAATGCGGAGAACTTATCGATGTTTCCGTCAGCAGGGTGTTAGCCTTTTTCCTCTGTGTTATAATGTACTCCCTGTGAATCTTAGCAATGACTTTGTCAGAAGCTTTCCTAAGATATTTTTCGGATTGGGTGATCGCACCTGCGTTTGACAAGCGTATTAGCTCCGCTCGGTAGTCTGGTTCCTTCGTGTCCTCAGCCTCCCCGTGCGGTGCCTCGTCAATCACTGGTAGTTCTGATTCCATTATTTATTATACAGCAGGAACTTCAGTCTACACTTCAGTTTACGTCTTTATCTCATGATTATACGGATGAACTAAGTTAATCTCCTTTAGCTGTCTCTTAATGGATTTCATTTCGTCCCCATCAACCTCCAGATACTCGTCTAAAGTGATTTTCATGTCTGCTCTGTTCGGATTGTAAAATGTAATTAATTTGGAAATATTCTCGCGATAAGGTTTTGCTATGGATGTGAGCTGTTGGGTGATGACGATGGTGGAGATTCCCATGTGTCGAGCGCTAAATCCAAGTGTCACCAATTCTCCAACACGATTTTTGACCGAGGTGTTGCTTGCACAGTCATCTAAAATTATAAGAGACTCTCGCCCTTTGGTAAAATCCACAATACATTTCAGACGGTCCTCCACGTCGTCCTGCTTGCAGGGGATCACAAACAAATTGGGATCGTTGTACATAAAGTCCTGGTCGTAGGTTTTATTCCAACGGAATGTCGGACAGATGAGGAAAATGTTCTCGAATTTTCTGTGGAAGGTAGTTTTCAATTTCTTGATAAGATAGTGAGTGGGTCTTTCCGCAGGCCGTCTTGCCTACTATTATGTTAAATGGCATTTTATTTTTGAGATTAAATAAAACATGGAAAAATACAGCAAAAATCAGAAGAAGGAAGAGGAGTTAAATATTGGTGTGAAAGTAAGCAAAGGTGCATGGACTATCATTCGGTGCTGCAGACGCTAAAGTTGGATAAATCAGCTCTAATGTTAAAAACTATAAATACGTAAACAAGGGTGACTGTTATCCAAAGGAAAACTTGAACGCAGTAAAAGAATATCCGAAAACAAAGAGAAAGAAAAAGAAAAAAAAGTAAAAAATAAATGGGATGCTTATTTACAAAACCTACTAATGTGGAAGAGAAAATCACAACAGAAAAAAATGTTTGCTATCGGTCTAAGCTTTGAAAAAGGAGGTGTCAGCACGGATGTCCGTACGCCAATCGGATACGTAAATGCAACGGTAAAAAATACGACGAAACAAAAGGTGAGACGGTTGATAAAACTATGCCTAATTTGTTGTCTACTGATTCCAATCACCTTTGAAATCCTACTCATAGTTCTTATTTTTAAAACTTTCTGTATTTAATCTATGGGGAGTTTCGAAAACTACTGCATGTGCTGTGTTACAAAAGTTTCATGGTAATAATGTTCCAACACCTTGCAGTAGAATGATGAAATAGATCATATTGAATCTAGAGAAATATTAATCACATAGTATTATAACTCAATAGCAAACCCAGGTTCATATTCATCGGTAAACTGCTTTTTTAATACTCATGTGAATATTAAAACTACTCAACGTGTTCTTCTTGCCACTTCCCCATTACCTCGGACAACTTACACCATCTATGTACCTCATACCATAAACCTTTGTACCGGAGCAGGGTCTGTCCACCAAGCGTTACCACATTGAATCCTTCAAATTGAGGATATTGTGTTCCTTTTGGTGTTTCCGAAATAATTCCGCGCGAAACAAGATCCTCTCGTGCTTCCATCCGTCTGTCTTCAATGCTGTGATAACGTCATCAACTAATCCTATCACATTAATACCAATGTCGTTATTCTTCTCAAAATCTTAAACAATGATTGAAGTCCAGTCCAATTTTCCTATAAGTCTGTCGCTTCAGTTCCTTATCAACTCGCCCGGCGTTCTTCCTTTTTGGGTCCAACCCCCTCCCATTACCGACCACCTAAAGCTTTCGTCACCACTACACTTCATGTTGATGATTGCTCTCTTGTTCCTAATCCATTTCAGTAAACGCATTGTGGTTTTATTTACTAGTGGAAAACTTTATCTATAAATTGTTGATTCCAAAACATTAAATTTTGCGTGCGCGCGTGGGGGAGAGTGAGCAAACGATCACCCAAAGTCTCCACTAGGAGCAAGCAAGCAGTGTGGAGGAGTTATAGGGTGGGGTTTGGATAAACTGAAAAGGAGTCGGTGGAGGAGAATTTGGGGATTTGAGATGGATTTCCGGACGAAGGTCCGGAAGAGGAATTGAACCAGAAACAACAATGAGTCAGGTAAGGCTTCTCCTACTACAGACGTATTTCCGTCTAAAGTCGGGAACTCCTTTTAAACGAGAAACTAGTCTGCATAGTCCGTTAAAGACTAGATTCTTAATTCCCTTACATTTATCCGCCTATTTTTTCTGAACTTTGAGACCCTTTCCATCTCAAGCAGGATTTTTCAGTCCCATAATAAAAACAAATCAATTTTGTACAAATTATCGCCCAGGAAAAGCAAATACCCTACCACTGCGTCAAAAATAATTGGAAATATATTGCCTATATTGAGGAAACTCACGATCATGCAGAGACCGCGAATATATGCATATAAAAGCCACGCATGATATAAACTTGTTATGATTGTGATTATCAGTTATGTTTGTGATTATCAGTTATGTGTTTATTTTTGTCTCTGAGTGTGTCCGCACAGTACAAGCTGAAACATTTGCTTGACCGTGGTGGGAATCGAACCCGCGACCTTTGGTTGCTATGCATGCAATGCTTTACCAACAGAGTTAAGGCGGATTTCCAGTCCTCGCACGAAGCTCCTCGCAGCTCGCTGCGAGTTCTTGCATCTAATGAAAATTAACTGTTTAGAACTGTGATTGGATGAAAGTGCTCATGCATGCACTCGCAGCGAGCTGCGAGGAGCTACGTGTGAGGACTGGAAATCCCTCTTTACGAGGTGAAGTCGATATCAGTGTGTTTTTTACGATCTTGTATTTTTTGTTCTGGTGTTTTGCAATACCCCCCCCCAAAAAAAAAAAACCCTACTAATATCGAAGGAACTATAGACAAAGTTACAAAATATCAACCACTCGAACCGACTTGACCTCGTATAGCTCAGTGAGAGCATTGGACTAGCAATCCAAAGGTCGCGGGTTCGATTCCAGCCGCGGTGAAGCAAACTTTTCAGCGTGCCCGGTGGACACACTCAACAATGTCACAAACATATACTTTGAGTTGTTTTGAAACGAAGTAAATGACCCATACTACAGAGGTCACTATATGCATGCATGTGTTTATTTTCAAAATATTCAAATTTACAAATTTTAAATTGCAATACACAATAGCTGTGTGTATATTAATCTCGTCTTGGTTGAAATCATTGCATTCATTATAGTGGCTGTAAAAAAGGGACAGCCTTCAAAGAAGACCTCTAGTCACAAAACTGCTTCAGTAAGTCCAAATTCGTCGACCGGTTCAGTATCAAACTCCTGGAGGCCTAAACCTAATCACACTTGTTCCATTCAATGCTTAATTATCATGTAGAACATTGACATTGTCATTGCCTGGCTTTTGCCGCATGATTTCATAATTGTGTGCACTGTATAGCGTGTTAGCTGCAGATTATATCTGTTGAGGCAAACAATATGACGAAAAACTGCATGACGATTTGTCATTCGCACCCTTGTGTGTATATGCGAGAGGCTGTAGTTTAAATATTTTATCGTTCGTTTTTAACATACCTTATTCCCCTTTCAATGTCTAATTCAATAAAGGTTGTCCGTTGCAAACCTTAAACTCTTAAACCTTAAACTCTAAGCGCGCAAAGCATAATGGGAGCACTGTTTATGCAGTTTTGAAAGCATATATGGAGCCCATTTCTTAGAGACATGGTAAATATGTGCCTGCGAAAACATTTCACTAACAAACAACTGCAATAGTCAACTACTAAGCTTGAAATCAGTACTCCCATAATGCTTTGCACGCTTAGAGTTTAAGGTTTAAGGTTTTAGAGTTTAAGGTTTGCAAAGGACAACCTTTATTGAATTAGCTGTATATATATATATATATATATATGTATATATATATATATATATATATATGTATATATATATATATATATATATAT